TGTCCCACGCAATAAACGGTATCCTACCAACTGTTGTGCTTGGACTGGTCATACATTTCCGGGCTTCAGGCAATCTCCTCCTTACGCTCTACATGAATGACTCACACAATGAGAGGCAAGCGAAAGAGAAGCGATGCCTTATTGGAAGGCTTGCCTGTGTGAGTTGCAAGACGCTTTTCTAGTTATCCAGCAGGCCCACATAGCGCACTGTGACAGTGTTCCTGAACCACAGCAGGAGATAATGTTACGAAGACGCTTCAAGGCTTCTGCGAGCCATCGTTAGTATATATGTTTTGCATCAATGACTCTGAACTGCCAATTGTCAATCTCCATTAAGAGTTCAACAGCTGGGCTACTGTTTCGTATGGTCATCATTTCGTAGTGCATTTACAATATAACCAGATATAAAAGAGTTCCGAATCTCAATCAAAAATCAAGAGATGTAAGTAATAATTTGTACTTTTCAATAAGCAAACACTGAATGGATTAAAGTACAATCAATATTATAGAAAACTGATGTGAAAGATTCTATAGCGGTTCAAAAATCTAAAGTTAAATTTTATTTTGAAAGAAAGTATATGAAAATGTATTGTCCGTTTTGCATTAATTGTTACGGCCGGAATGTAGAGGGAGATATTTACAATTATTGTACTAATATTATCTAACAAAATATTTTTAAAAGTGTCAATTTCTAAAGATAAAATTAAACGACATGAATGTAAAGATACATATTTAAAGTATAACTTATGGAGTTATAGTTTTGGGTTCCACGTTTAAACAGATTTGTTTAACTTGGTTGGATGTAGCAGTTTGAACTTATCGGAACAAACGTTCACCCCAAGTCTCTGAACTAATCACAATCGCTCCGGGTTCTACTCCGAGTAATACCATCCTTTCTCCGCTAGATGGTCGAAAGAAGCGTAGCAGACGCTTATGGCCGAAGTCTCGTCCGTAAAATAAGTCATTAACTACAATCTTGAAGGATGAATCGCAGAGTGTGCTTGTGGTGGTTTGCGCTTGTGCTCGCGAGTGTTGCGTCCTCCGCCCCGAGCAGAGCCTACTTCCCCAGTTGTGGACGTGGCGTGTGAGGACGGCCGCCCTCGCGCGGTTGGTGCAGCGCTCCGTGCTGAAGGACGGCGGCTGCGGGCGGCGGCCCAAGGAGGAGCTGCGCTCAGGCTGGAGGACGGGGCAGTGGTATGGGGAGCCAGGTACCATCCCCTGTCCCACCTCTTGCACCCGCCGCCGCCGCCGCCGCTCCCCCTCCTCTCTCCCGCTGCCCGCCGCGACCCGCTCGCCCTCGGCGCCACGCACGCCGCCGCCGCCACGGTCCTCGGCGCTGCCAGGTTGCGGCGCACGTGAGCGCCTTCGCGGACAGCGTGCTCGTCTACGCCCGGCAAGTGCTCACGGTTCTTTGCTTCTGGAACTTTACCTCGGCGCGTGACCCTAAACGCTTCTTAGGGGAACAGAAGTAAAGAATGAGTACTGCCAGACTGAAATTATGTGCTCACTTTCCTTGAAGAGAAAAAGTTTATCTTTTGCTGCCGTGTCGTAAGGCAACAAAAATACTCCAGAGAGAGAGACGAACGGAGAGAAACTGCGACACACCATGTGAACGAATTCTGCGACATCGCGTACGAGAAGCTTTTCCACCCGGAAAAATAATGACAGAGAAGGATAATCACAGTTCAGTACGGCATTTCCGTTACGGGCATCTCACTCTCTCGTGGGATGGAAGGGCGCTGTGTGTGATTGGACGGGGCCGTTCACCCACATTGGACCGGTCTTTCCAAGGTGGCCGCGGCGCAGGCTGAGTTCGCCGCGGCTGCAGGCCGGCGGCCAACGCCAGCTAGGAGGTCCTTGCTCGGCGCCTGCTCAGGCGGGCGGGCGGACGTGTCGTTCACCCGCCTTACTACCCGGCTGAGGGGCGCGGGTGGCGCAGCTGACCATGCCCGTCTGCAGAACAGCTTCTGCCTGGTGAGTGCGGCGGCAGCGCGCCGACTGCTCTGGTGCCGTGCTCTTTCCATTCCGCTGCGCCCGCGCGTGTGGGCGGCGCTGGGGCGGCGGACGTATGCTGCCGGCCTGGCCGCCGCCTGGCACCGCGCGTACCCCACGCCCGCACCCCGCACACCCCCGCGCGGGCCGACTGACGCGCAGACGACACGGTGAGGCGCCTTACTCTGGGTCCCGTACGCGCTGTTGTACTTTTTGAAGAGAGACTAGAGTTTGTTTCTCTGTAGCTTATTATGGCCACATTGATTACAGTTAACGTCAGCCGCGCTGCATCTTTTGCTGGTGCGGTGCCGCTCTGCTCATTTTGGAAGGCAGAGGAGGAACCTAATGAAGTCTTTGATTCCTACTCTATGTTCAAGAGTACAATATTCATTGTATGGCACATTGATATCAAATGTAAACGTCAGCTTCCGCGGCTGCAGTCCATATTCTTCTTGGCTGTCCGGGTGACGCCGCCGTCGTTGCTCTACTTTACTGAAGCAGAGAGGAACCAGAAAAGGTCTTTGGTTCCAACTACTCTATGTTCAGAGAGTACAAACTATCATTTAGATGGCAACATTGATATCAAATGTAAACGTCAGCTTCCGCGGCTCGAGTCATATCTGTCTTGACTGTCGCTGTGACGCCGCCGTCGTTGCTTTACTTTTATGGAAAGGCAGCAGGAAGTAAACAAGAAGTCTTTGGTTTCCATTGCTGTTATTGTTAGAGAGCTACAATTTCAATTTAATGGCCAACATTGATTCAATGTTAAACGTCAGCTTCCGCGGCTCGAGTCCATGTGTTTGGCTATCGGGTGGACGCGCGTCGTTGCTTACTTTTATGGAAAGGCGAGGTATAACCAAAGGAGTCTTTGTTCCACTGCTGTATGTTAGAGAGTACAAATTTCATTTAGGCAACTTGATATCAATTGTAACGGTCAGATTTCCGCGGCTGAGGTCCATTGTCTTGGCTATCGCGGTGACGCCCGTCGTTGCGTTACTTTTATGGAAAGGCAGAGGAGTAACCAAGAAGTCTTTAGGTTCCAATGTGTATGTTAGAGAGATACAAATTTGCATTAATAGGCAAACTGGATATCAATGTAAACGGTCAAGCTTCCGCGGCTCGAGGTCCAATTGTCTTGACTGTCGGGACGCCGCGTCGTTGCTCTCCAGCTCTTTACTTTTATGGGAAAGCAGAGGTAACCAGGAGTCTTGTTCCACTGCTGTATGTTAGAGAGTCCAATTTCATTTATGCAACATTTGTATCAAATAAAACGTCAGATCGCGGCTCGAGTCCATATCGTCTTGCGCTATCCGGTTGACGCGCGTTCTGTTGCTTATTTTATGGAAAGGCAGAGGAGTAACAAGAAAAGAAGTTCTCTTTGGGTATCCAACTGCCTGTTGTAGAGAGTAACCAATTTTATTTAATGTGGGCAACATTGATATTCAATGTAACGCAGCTTCCGCGGCTTCGAGTCCATATTGTCTTGACTGTCGGGTGACGCCGCGTCGTTGCTAACTTTTATGGAAAGGCAGAGAGTAACCAAGAAGTCTTGGTTCCCTGCTGTATGTTAGAGGTACAATTTCATTTAATGGCACTTGATTAATCAAATAAATGTAAACGTCAGATTCCGCGGCTCGAGTCCATATCGTCTTGGCTGTCCGGGTGACGCCGCGTCGTTGGCTGAGAGGCCGACGTTTCGTTACTACCCTGAAGAAGCCTGCGATATGACAGGCGAAACTTCGACCTCTCAGCCAACAACCCGGTGTCACACGAGAAGTCCTGAACTCGAGTAGCGGAAGCTTACGTGTACATGAAATTCACATTTTATAGAAGAGTCGCGATAATCCGTGGTCAATGGGGCTGCTTGCACCTCGGATTAGACGATAAAAATAAAAATACTTAGCGGTATTTTCCACTACAATGTAAAACGAAGCCCAATTTAATGTACAGTTACCATTAAAGTTACAGATACATACATACATGAGCGCGAACCGATCACAACAATGTAGCAAACAGACTGACACTTGGCACCGACAGCCATACACGTGACTTTCGACGCACTATTGCCAATTCGTCAAGAACCAGCTCTTGATTGTCGCCGAATTGGTAACTTGGCGCACATTAGGCCATCTCGTATTGCACATAATATCGGATTACCGAGATTCGGATTACCGCGACTCTACTCTACTGCAATTAAAACACAAACTCTTTTCAAGGTCACGAGCTGAAAAGAGAAGGGCACACTGTCATAAAATCGGAAGCTTCAATAACAAAAATGAAAGTCATACCGAAGCTGGCGATTCGATGTTACAAAGCCTGGCCTGGTTCTGATCCTTTCAGCTCGTGATCTTAAAAGGACTTCCTGGTTTATTCGGACTGTGAGTGATTAAGTTGATGTAGAATAAATATAATAGAAACGTTTTCGAAACTACGCGATACATGGGGCAATATTTTTCGTAATACTACACTACCTCCTTATGAGGGTTAGTCAAATAAAAACGAGACAGATTATATAACGAGCTTGGCACTGAAGTGGATAACGCTGATAGGCATGAGTATAGAAGTGTACTCCATTGGTCGCCATTGGTCTGATATGACGTGCTCGGAGTGTCGTCATATCTGTGCGCGTCTGATTACAATATAGAGGTCGGGAAAGGGAAAGCGAGGTGCAGTGCGTTTTTTGGCTGTGCAAAGAGCGTCACGAGATGAAATTCGTGCCGGAATGTGTGTTGTTTCTGAGGAACACAGTATATCAAATGCTTGTATGGTTGAGTTGAATAAACGGTTTTGAGGCGGATGTCGTTCAAAGACAACAGTCGGCAAGGAAAGGTTCATCATATCATTACCCCTTTTGTAATTGCTATGGTGGATGCTGCCTTCAGAAGAGATCAACGGCAGACTGGAAGACATTTGGCTTATATTGAGCATTTTAATCGGTTGAGCATTAGTCACAGTCACATTGACGCCATCTTGACATTGCATCTGAAGTTTCGGAAAATCTGTGCTTAATGGGTCGGCAACAGCGTGATAGAGGAACAGAACAGACAAACAAGGTCAACATCACTGCAGCACCTGGAACGGTATCACTTTTCAGAATATTATTTCCTGTCCCGTCGATTTGCCTCGGACGAAGAGGAGAACGCGTGGGGAGAACCATTGTTTCATAGACAATTGCAAACATTTTCCTCTGACGGCATTGAATATCTTGTCTCATAGTGGGATAAATTTATAAATAGTTATGACGATTACTTTTGAAATAAACAGCAAACTTATTTTTTCCCCGATGTCTCATTTTTATTTGACTGACTCTCTCTGATACAAGAAAGTAATAGGGCTACAATAGTACATTATCTTTGTACAAAACGGTTTATAATATAAGTGGCGGTGGTGGTTCTGGCTACTGGCTGTAACCGAAAATCTGCGTACGGTTGAAACTTGTGTCATAACTATTGTAATATTTGTCCGTAGTCAATTTGTCTTCTCAAACTGATAACTCGAAATCACTGTTATGCTCATTGTTTGCATAATTTCATTTTCCTCTTCAGATTCACTGGAGAAAATAACCTATTCTAATAAGAAGATCATTCTAGGTAGAGCAATTGCATCTATTTTGCATGTACAATTGTATTGAAAATAATTTTTGGGCGGTGAGATGTTAGCCACCTACATTTTGCAATACTTCTCTCCTAATAGCACTGGCAGACGAAAATGAATACGGATCGAAATGCAAATACATTTCTTGTTTATACTACTTGTTGTTTGATGTGTATAAGTAACAAGGTATTTTACGACTTCTTTACGGGCTTACAAAACTCATCATATCAAGAAGAAAATCAATAGGGTCCAATCAATTCCTGGGTCTTCAGTATCCAGTCGTGAGGCTACTGTCAAAGGTTTTCTGGTTGTGGTCAATCTATGGTATGCTCAAATTTCCTTTTCGTTTGTGTATATCATACGATGACTCTTAAGAGAAAAAAATTGCCTTGTTCTTGTAAGAAGTCGCCGAAAAAATTCTGAATTTTTACAATTTTTGAAAAATTAGAGATTTTAACGAACATGAGAATTGCATCATTCTCTCAAGCGTCCTTTACGCTATTCAAGGCCAAAATTTAATTTAAAAAAATTGGTGCCATTTAAAAAAAAGTAAAATGACACAAGTACTTCATGTAAAGTACCCCACGGAATTAAACTATCGCTTTAAAATTCAAGGGACCATGACGTCAGCCAGATCTACTGGGGAATATAAATTTGCAAAACGTGTGAGCGGTTTAGCCGCTAGCGAGTTCACAGATGAACAGACGTTTTGTCCTCAGTCGATTTTTGGGTGTTAAGGACCCATTAAACATGAATTCTGGCTACATCACGTTTAGAAGATTTTTTTATATATTTAGCTGCTGCATTTTTTGTTACCACGTCCCGGCAATAAAGGTTTTTCTGGCAAAAGTTTGCCATTTTCCCCGCAACTTTCACTCTTCCGCGTAAGCAATAGTGAAAAACTAAAAAGTTTGTTTTCTTTTTTTGATCATTTTGTACGTGGTAATATCATGAAAATGTATTTTGAACCTTATCTGTATATAATATTGATTAGAAAATTAACCTTTAAGCGGACGCTGGAACTCAATACTGCACGTTTGCTTATGATGAGATAGCGTGATTGTTCACCTCCATTTCCAGTAGATATCTCGTGTAGACACTTTCGAGCTTATTTCACACATGTGAGGCACACGTTTGAGGCGTTCTCATTGATTTGTCATATTGTGAAGTATGCGCGAGGTCGTAATGTATTGGCGACTCTCCGTGCCGCGCTCGTCCAAAATGTATTTATTCCTTCAACTTTTTCTTTCGCAACTTTTCCAAACTCAGCGTTTGGCCTGTTTGCAACTCAAAAATTACTTTGGTATACAATTGTATATGCAATATGGATGCAAGTCCTTTCTCTGGAACAATCTTATAATGAAGAATACATTATTTTTTCAAGTGTATCTGAAGAGGGAAATGAAATTATTCAAACAATGATCATTGTGATTTCGAGTTATTAGTTTCAGAAGACAAACTGTCTACGGACATTTATTACAATAGTTATTCCGTGAATGACTGTCTGTTGAACAATGGAATCACATTCTTGGGAACAATAAAAAATAATAAAATAGGAACAATGCCGATCAGATGGCCGAAATCGCTAAGGCAGTAGTGTCATAGCGGTATCGAACCAGAAGATCACGCGTTCGAGTCTCACGTCGGGCATGGGTGTGTTTGTATGTGTATGTCGTCCTCTCCTCCCTCTCTATCATTATTATTTCATCTTGCGTACCCACAGAGCTAACAACTCAGGGGGGATAAAAATCGCATCCAACTAAATGCTGATTCCCTGATAAAAATACATGCACCTGCCACCGAGATACTCTTTCTGAGTCCCGGTAAATGCAGGGTGCATGAACTCGTAGTTCAAGTCGGCTATTCGCGAGCAAAAATAAAGGGAAACACTACTGGAATTCCAATTAGTTTACTTAAGTATCATAGGTCTCCAAGAGAAAAAACAAACTATGACATTATTGTCAACAATTCACGGCAATAGAGAAACAAGAGGCAATTGAGAAAACAAGCAAGCCAACAATTATTCTCAACTGCCCTAAAACAAAGGGAGGCATCGATGAAACCCAAAGTGTGAGACTTGTTCTACGGAAATAAGAAAATGAGAAGATGTTTCCCTATTTTTCTAAATTTCTACACTAAAATATTTTAACAACAATGTTGGGCTTTGTGCTTCAATATTGTGTCCAAACTAGATATGTCCGTAAAATTCTCCAAATAAGAGGAAATACCAGCAAGTGAATGAGAGATTGATAATTTGATTTTCAAAAACGTGATAGTTGTTTCAATTTTATTATTTTAAACATTTGAATTAAATCTTTTGTGCTCTCATTTTGTACCTTATCTTATTTAAATACATGTATCCGTGCACCTGAACATTCTATTTAATTCAGAAGTTTTCAATTCTTCTTAATTAAATATTTATAGTATGTATTTTACAATTGAAAGTACTTGTACGCACTCCCATTGTACTATAGTACCGTAATCAAGGTCTACTTGAATCTAAATTTTCAATTCTTTCGTAGTTTTTTTCTTTATTAATAAACGAAAAACTAAAAAAAAATTGTAATTAATTTCTATCAATCGAACGCCATAACGTAAAATGGTCGAGAGTAGTTTGATAAGATACATTAAACACAATGCGCAAAGATTTTTTTGAAAATCGGGTTAAATTGCACTTGTGTATAGGCTTCTTGATCCCACGTGAAGTGTATTAACAAATATATAATTACTAAAATGCAAACTTATCGCTTGATCAACTGTCTTGGACATTCAGTCTAGAGATAAAAGTTTGCAAGGCACAAACACCGCCACTTTCGAAACTAAACACTAAATACATTGCTGTAACGTACGTTTGGTATTCCACCAAACTATACTACAAGCATTTATTTTGCTCTATGTTGACATCGACCGGAAGCAACTGCAAACTAACTCGTTAATGCAAAATATAAGCGGCTTCAACAGAGGGAGAGTAGTTTTTTGCTTGGATTCAAGTAGTACCCTACGGGACCAAGTAGCCCTGATGATGGTAACCTTTTCCTAGCCCCCTTTCACGCTAAACACACCAAATTTTTTTGTGCAGACAAAGTGCTGCGGGTGCCCGCATACGATGCAGGAAGAAGCATGATCTCTCAAGGGTTAAGGGACAGAGAGTGTTTAAGACAGAATGCTCTTCAATCTAATATTTACGTATTATGTATATGAGATACAGGACGTTTTTACTTCGATGATGTGTTAATGAAAGTGAATAAATGGAATAATACCAAAACATGTCCTTTATTTTTTCGTCCTTTTTTATTAACACATTACTTATACGTGACTAAAAAATTAAATGAACCTGTGTTTCATTTAAGTACACTAATTAAAAATGGAAACAAGATTGGGAGTACCATATATTTTATTTCATTTTAAACATCGATTTTTCATCAACATCGAAAATCTTTTGGTGACCTATCGGCATATCGATTTGCCCTCACTAGCGCCGGGCCCCGGGCGCGCGCTGTTCGACGTGGCGGAGGTGGCGCTGGCAGGGTCTAGCAGCCGCCCGGCCTACCGCTTCGCGCAGCGCCTCCTGCTGGCCGGGCTGCTGCTGCTGGCGCTGGTGGTGGGCAACGCTTACTCCGGCCAGATGCTGGGCTTCTTGGCCGCGCCGCCGCGCCTCCCGGACCTCAACACCCTCGACGAGGTACTCGTTCTCAGCGTGTTCTCTACATGACATGTTTCTACACAAAATTTCTACACAAAATTACAGGTGCGAAAGCAGCATGTATTTTCTCACCCGTACTTTCACGCAAAATTAATCGACAAATATTAAAATTTTCAAATAAATATACGTGACCTTATTTCAAAATGTAATTCTAAAGAAAAAATGTCATTAAGAAAAAATCTCTACCTTCATAATTGTAGTTGTAGGAAAACGTCGAAAAACATTTGAAAGTTTGCAATACTCGAAAAATCAGTTTTCATCGAAAATGAGAGTCGCACTTTTCTTTAAAATGTCCTCTACACTATCGAGCAACACAATTTATTCAGAAACGATGGAGCTATTTTTTTGAAAATTTTGAGAATATCCGAGGGACTTCATGTAAGTACACCCAGAATAAAAATATCGATGTCAAACTCAAAGAGCCACAACACCAGTCAGATCAATAGAGGAATATTAATTTTGCAGAAGTATCAAGAACTCACAAAATATGAATTCAAATTTGTAGTGGTTTCAAGAACTCACAAAATATGAATTCTGGCTACACCACGTGTTAGAGAATTTCCCCCCTAAATTCAGCAACTGTATTTATCAATTTTTCGTTTTCAGAGCCCTTTAATAAGAGTTGTTCTGCGAAAAATTCGCCGTTTTTTTCGCGCAGCATTACATAACTTTCTATCTACTGCGTAAGCGCTAGAGAGAAAGTAAAACCGCAAAATTTTCTTCTCTAATTTTTCTTCGAATAGAACATTGCTCACTTCGAAATAGTGCAAGGTCTCATTTTTGTGAACTCTCTGAATTATCTAAAATTGGAAAAGATATACATAATGCACGAAAGTATGTGCTGTTGTATCACTATGAGATATTTCGGTTAATAGAGTAACGAACAAAATTAGGTGATGTGAAAAAACGTACTCTATTCGCTAATGGGTATCTCGGAAGAGGGTGGGGCCAAAAATGAAAGTCTAACCTAATAGTAATAAATTAGTAAATTAAGTAGTACGAGAAAGTCTGTGACATTCTGAAACATCAATTACCTACATAATAGAATCCCGATAATGCGAGAAAATTGAGGCTGACGGTACCTCGTTTTACACGAAAAAAAAAACACATAACGAAATTGATCAACTATAGTCTATAACAAAGTCAAATGTATGAATAGTTTTCTATTAATGTATAGATGCTATTAAAATTACACATATGTGCATGCATATATGAGCACGAACCGGTCACAACAATGAAGTGTCATTGGCACCAATCGCCACCCACGTGACCTTCGAAGCAGTGTTGCCAACTCGTAAAGAGTCAGCTCTAGATTATCGCCACTTGTTTGCTTTTGGGGTGACTTGGCTAACATCAGTTTTTTATCTCCTATTACACGTAATCTTGGATTAGCTGAAATCAACTCAACTGTATGGCGTTTACGTGGGAGTTAAATCAATTATCGTTCCACCAGGTGGCGGCTGCTGTGCGCACGGTTCTCTCGAACAATTCCACCGCCCCGTTCCTGCGCGGCCGCGGCGACCGCACGGCCTTCGAGCAGCTACGCAGCAAGCTGCAGATCGTGGGGCTGGGCAGGGTGCAAACCAACCTGGAGATCGTCGCGCAGGGCGACGCAGCCCTGCAGATGTCGGAGCTGGCGCTGGACGTGTTCCTCTTCACGCCCAACTTCACGCGCGACGGCCAGATGGTGCTCCACAAGGTGGCGGAGCGCGTGCTCAGCCCCGGCCACATGGGGCTGTTGGTGGCGCTGGACTCGCCCATTTACGACCTGGTGAACGCGTTCGCGCTGCGCTGCGTGGAGGCCGGGCTGCCGGCGCAGTGGCTGCGAGCGCAGCGCCGACGCCTGGAGGCCGCGGGCGAGCTGGTGGGTGTCATCAGGGGAGGAGGATATTGTTCTTGCGCATCGTATCCGACTTCAGCCGAGACACCAGTTTGTGTCGCGATATTAGCGGGAATTTTAAACGCAGCTAGATACCAAAATTGTTCCCTCGTTGACATTGAAACAGTTTTATGATTCATTTCTTTTAAATATTGCATCTTGTGCATCATCGTGTTATAATTGGTTGGTTACCGTTAAAAATTGTCACTTTGTACCACTTTCAAAGTGTTTCTCAACATTTCAGCGGCCTGCGTCCTCTGGCTTTTCAAACGAAAGGCCCGTGCTGTGGTCACGTGGCTCGTGACGCAAACATGTACTGGGCTGAACGAGCAAAAATTGGTGCGCCGGAGTAAATGTCCGATATCTTTCTACTATGTGTGTAATGATGGAACATTTTAGCAAACCATCGATACTTTGATTCATCACCAAAAGATTTTCGATGTTTAAAATACCGATGTATTAAATTTGATGGAACTTTTTTTAATGTCCTCGTTCTAATACGATATATAACAAGTCAATATTAGTTTAAAGTGTAATCTGCCTTAAATTTGACTGTCATCTTCATTTTCTGATCAGTTCTATGTAGTCAAGATTCAAAATAATGTTTAACGACATTATCACGTAAAAGATAATAAAAAAAGTGATAACATTGGAGAAAGGTAGAGAATAAACGATTTCGTGGCGTCTGGAAGCGACTACGTCTGGAAGACTACAGTGACAGATGTCAAAGGTTGTTGATCGCGAGCAATCTACAAAGGCATTAGATATTACAATAATTTATATAATGAGATATAATGGTTTTTGAGAATATCGATGTTTCTGGACAAATATATCGATCTGGAGAAAACATCGATGTTGTGATATCGATGTTTTAAAAGCATCGACTTTTGTGCCGTGCCTAGGTGACTGGCGATGCGAAGCAACGGCCGCGGACGCTGCGCGTGGAGCAACTAGCTGGGCCGTTGCTGTGCCTGGGCGCGGGGCTGGGCGCAGCTGCGCTGGCGTGGGCGGCGGAGGTGCTCTGGCGGTGCAGGGACTGCGCGCACAGCGGCGGCGGCTGCCGTCGGTGGCGGCCGAGCAGACGGGCGGCGAGGCGAAACAACGGCCGTGGGCGCTTTGCGTGGAGCTACTAGCTGGGCCCCTGTTGTGCTTGGGCGCGGCAGTGCTGGCGTGGATGGCGGAGATGCTGTGGGGGTGGAGGTGCGGCACGACTCTCCGCTGGTGCCGCTTTTCTAGGGCTCGCCTGCTGTGAAGTGTTTTAAGTATGGGAGTCGCTGCGCTTCGCTGAAAGTGATGAGATGAGGCAACACATGACTCCATTCGCTCAGCGTGGAAATGACTCTCTACCAGCGACCGTCAGCCCCGACCGCTTCCCCTGTGAGGAAGTCAATTTCCATACTTAAAACACCCCCCCCCTAATAAACATCTCACGACACCATTCCCCAATATTAGAACATCAGTAATACTCCCAACTCTCACGGATTTATGGTCTCTCTCTGCCTTAAGATTCTGTGGTTCTAACTCCGCCGCTCTACTTCAGTGGCTCTGTGGATTTCTTCCGTCGACACCGCTTTGCTAGGGTTCGCCTGCTGTTCAGTGCATTGGCGGGAGCGATTGCGCTTCGCTGGAAGAGACGAGATGAAGCAGCACATGCGTTCATTCCCGCAGCAGTGTCTACCAACGACCATCTCCTGAGAGGAAGCAATTCACATGCTTCAAACATTGCCCCTCTATAAACATGCCACGACAACCTTTCTTAACATATGATTATTGGTATTCCAGACATAATGCTCGCCCGCACAAGGAGTTGAAATGTTTAAATTTCTTAGAACATATCCGCACTAATTGTATTTTATTGATTTGGTTTAGTATTAGAAACAAAACAAAGGACAGCTTAAATAAGACAAAAAATTGGTTAATGGGACTTCGTAATAATAGTATGCACAAAATAGACTTTGATAGTAATTTTGAGAATATACTTAGATCCAAGACAACGACCCGAAAATAAATATAGTGGTTTTATTTCAACTCAGTCTGATTGAACCACAAGACCTCTGGGTAAATATAAACATTTTCCATTTGTAGTAAGGAAAATTACTTGGAAACTGAAGAAATTTGGCATAAGATTAAATAATTAATTATTCAGGTATTTTTATTTGTATACTGTGTTAACCTTCGTATTTCCTGCCATGAAAAAGAGAAATAATTGCCTCATACTGAAATGGTGTTCTCTCAAACACTTCGTAGTAACTTTCGGCCCAGCTTTTTCTGCTTTGTTAATGGTGTAGGCGCCATGCCTGCAGCTACATAGTGCCCTGAACCATAACATGTTTACAGTTCGTGGTTGACTCTCTGGGAATTTCGGTTAGTAGTTCAACTACATAATGTTTTACGCTACTGTTATTCAATGGTTGTTTATATCAATGGGGTTCTTTCCATGAACAATACATTCGTTTGCAATATTTACCATGGAGGTATTTTTACAACCGTTTACCTGTGGTTTTTAATCATAATGTCGCTTATGCATGCGAAAATCTACAAAATTCTGCCGAATTGTACAAATTCGTGGATAAGCAAGATATTGTGATTTAAAACCAGAGATACTAGCAATTTCGGAGCAAAAATTTAGTAAGTTAATTGTACATATTTATATTAAATTGAATAATTGATATTATTCAATTAATTATATAATTGAAATTTGAATCCAGGAATCCAAGGAGAATTAAATTTTATAATTAAATAGGCACAATAGAATGCATACGTAGCACGAGGGTATGGATGAATGGGTTGAATTAATGTAATGTAAATATGTGTGAATCTGTTTATTTCAGGTTTGTTAATCTTCAGGGTGTAACCTTCTCGTTTCTGTATTTTGTTCTTTTTGTACAGTGTACTGTTGTGATTTGCATGGAGTCACAATGAGAATAGGTAATGAAAACGAACAATTAATTTATTAGAATAAAATAAATCAGAGTTGCACCTATTATAACGGGCGCAACCTTAAAATTTTGAAAGTTTTTTTTTATTTAGGTCTAAGAAGAAGATTACTGCCAAAGAAAACCACAAATTCTATCACCGTACAATTCGATAATCATATCCCGCATCCCGTATGAGACTGCTTCGCAAACCTCGACCCAAAATAAATCTCTGGACCCGATGGATTAATCAATTAATTACAAAAAAACAAACAGTAATAATAGTAGAGTTGGAAATTGATTACGTTAACGCCAAGTACAAGCGACAGTTTTATTTTACCGAATAATTAAAGTAATTGTCGTAAAATTAATCTAAATGTTACAAGGGGTCCCAAGCGCCGCCCAAGGAACTATATAAATTATTATTAATGAATTCATTTGTAACCGGTCTCAGTTACTCCAATGCGTGGGGACGAGGCATATGAAGTATTATTGTATAGTCAGGAAATTAATCCACTAGCGAAAGCGATCTCTGATGATGATAATGATGGTGATGATGTCGATGATGATTATGAGAGTTTTCCAAAAATGATGGAATAGTGCTGGAACGTGATTCAGTAGAAGCAGAGAACCCCTAAAAATCTCATTGTTCACAATACATATATCATCCGAGATTAGAACCTCGATATTCGGATTGACCTCTACACTCCTGGGCGCCCGATAATGGTAGTTTGAATCACATACCCGTGAAGTACTGACGCACACCCGCGGAAAGGTTTGGCGGCGCGTCATCCGTTTATCACAAGCGGATCCACCGAGCGTTTAATACAAATAGACATATTACGCATGCATAGGTAAGTCCTGCGACCACATCCGACCGACACTCGCACGGCGACGGCTGCCGCGCGCAAAGCGAAAAAGCATATTATTTACAACTCAATTCGGGCGTTCACGAGATCAATCGTTCGGCGAGTTTGTGAAGGATTCTGGTTTGAAAGATTGTGCAATAGTGAAATCAGAACAAGGGGAACGGGAGAAGCCCGGGAAAATCATATATTGTTCATGGGCCGACCAGGGTTTGCATCCCGGCACCCTGAGCTAGAAGTCGAGCCCTCCGACCATTACACCACGGGTCGTCCCTGCTGATGATATGTTTTGAATGAAGGAGCAAAGGTGAAATGAGGCGCAGGGAGAATTGGTCTCCGAAAAAACCATACATTTCTCGTGGGACGTGCTTGCTGACGATATAATTTTAAATGAGGGATTAATGGTGAAATGAGGGGACAAGATAATTCCGAGAAACACATACATTTCGCATGGGTCGTTTCTAGTGATTTTAGATCAATAACGCATGAAATTTCAAATTTCAAGGATGTCTTATTACGTATTTGCGTGGTTTGACTTGTTTCTTCTATAGGTGAAAATATGTTGTTAGTGAATATTATATCATTCGGATCATGGCTTTTCATGAATTTATTACTTGTTTTTCTTTTATCCCCTTCAATACTACCTGTGTTGAAAAGGAACGATTTGACGGACTATGTTACGATAATATACAGCGACAACGCCTTTAATAACTGCACTGTCTCTTGTTTAACTGGAAAAGAAGTTCAAATCATTCTCTCCGAACATCGGTTTTGTTGATGGATTCGTTATATATCTACTACTCTCTATCACTTTTCTTTCTCATTTTGCATTGCCATCTCATTTGACAATCAGTAGCAATCTGTTTATTCGCTAGCCCTAAACGAAGTTCACGTAATTATTATTTATTTTAATAGGTATTTCGGTTGGTTAGGTAATGTTTTTATACCTTATTTTTCATTTTGAAGGGCATTTTTTGAGACCTTTAAGATTTTACTGAATATTGTATGGCATATTTTGACATTTTGTACTCCATAAAAATTCGATCACCGGTGATGACATGGGGAAAATAGTTTGTGGATCAATAAAGTGGTAAGGCAGCATTGACCATTGGGTCCCCTTTCTTTAACATTTTCGCCCTTACTTTGCCACGAGAGAAAGTTATGTAATCGTGCGTTGTAAATCGGTGAATTGTCGACAGAACAACACATATTGCGGGGTTCTGCTAACGATAATGTGCATTACGCTTGTTATATAATACACAGGTGTTCAGGGAAGAAACAACCAAACTTTGAAAAATTATCACAGAATTAAGAAAGCATCCAATTTACGCAATTCAATTGCTTTTTTATTTCTGTTTTAATATTTCTTTGTAAACAAATTATTTATATCTTTTGTAAAAAATAAACAATTTACATGTTTCTGGGGTGTTTTTTTGTTTATTAACGCAAATTTTTGCATAGACAGTATTGATTCAAACCAACTTATGAGTGTTTATTGCGGCTCAGCCATTCGAAATCTCGAATGAGTTTATTAGACAAAATGTACATAAAATTGACTTAACAGCTTATTTTCAAAGTTTCGTTGTTTTCTTCGCGAACACATTGCATAGTAAGTTACTTATTCTAACACGTTGTTAAGTCAGAATCTTTGTTTTGTGGGTCTTTGATACCGAAAAATCGATTGACGGCAAACATATGTGTAAGTCTGTGGTGTACGTCGCGCCTAATTCAGTTGATTTTCTCAAAAATTGATATTTCTCAATCGATCTAGCTGATGTCGCAGCCCCTGCAATTTAAAACCGACAGTTTAATTTTGGGGGTACTATAGATGTAAACCTTGAGATATTTTCAAAATTTTCAAACACATGGCACACAATTTTTTATTTAAATTCATGGGATAGAATAAAGGACACTTAGGTACTTAAGGTAGTATGAATCGAATTAGAACGTGGGCGTCTGTAAGGTGAATCAAACTATTCTTTACTATCCTAGACATAATTCGTAAAGTTCACGTCGCGACTGCCATGGCAAATAACTTTGAAATCAATATAAGCCTGGAGAAGGTCGCAACCCAATCGTTGGCAATCACGCCCTGATCGCGGGGTTTTCAGGGACTCCCTCAGCGTGAATCGAATTCGCGTGAAAGAACGTAGGTAAACCCGCGGAAGGGTGCACCAGCGCGTCACGTGCTTATCATAAGCGGATCCACGCGCTTACTATTAGCCCCGTTACGCATTGGTAGGCAAGTCCTGCGGCCACATCCGACCGACCCTCGCCCGCCGGAGGGAAAGAACTGCGCGCAGGCTTCTGCGCGTGGTGCGCAGACGCGTGATGCGCAGACGCGAGGAAGCGCGCCGCCGGCCGCCGGAGGTGCTGACCTCTGCAGGAAGCCCTTCCGTCGCCGGTCGCTGCGAAGCTACTTCCGGTGCGCGCCGTCGACCGCGCGTACTCGCTGGGCGGGGCGGAAGCGGGTCGAAAGAGTTGTTCCGCGGAAATAACATTAGCAATAAATTACATGTTATAGTAATTAACGACACATGTGGATTAAAAGGGGTAAAATTGCAGGAGTGGTATGTTGAAGAAGACGAGCGACGATAGGAGCGAGTTTCTTACTTACAACGAGAGCAATTATACCCCCTTTATCCACGTGCTACATTTAATATTTTTTTCGTTTCCATTTAAGAATAATTTAAAATTCGCATGATTTTCGACGCATATTTTTGATGACGTATTGATTCTGAAAAGATGTTAGTTGGCCTTGGATTGTCTTTGCAAGAAATGTTTGGAAATAAAAGGTATTGAACATATTACGGATGAAATATCAGAAGAAGCTGTTGAAAGCATGAAAACATTACTTCTCATGAAAAGTTAAGACACGTATAAAAGAGAATACACCATATATAAATAAATATTAGGGGAAAATGGTCACTTCTGATAGTATGCTAGTGTACTATTTACAACGGAAAAACACAACTGACGTTCATATTTTTTACACTTTGTAATGATAAGACCAAATAATTTAAATGTAAAACAGTTAATTTGTCATTGTTATATAATTAGTTGTTCCATCTGTTAGCTAGATTAACGTTTACTTCGTCAATTTACTTTTATTCATTCGTTGTTGATATGTAGTTGATGCAGGTACGAAATCTGCAAGGCAATCTGCAATTGGCCACGACTGTGTTATAGTGTATTAATTAAACGATTTTGCTCCTTTTCTGAATTCTGATTCATAGGCGTCAAGTTTTAATTGCACGGTGGTGTATTTCTATCAAAACATCACGATTTTCCTACATCATTAGAATACTTTTTTGTGTTCTGCGTAAGCAGTAGAGAGAAAGTAGAATCTAAAC